TGTCCAGGCCTGTCATCCTCCCTGACCACTGCTGTAGCTGCTACTTGGTCCCCCTGGGTCAGCCCCACTCCCACTACGCCTATTCTTCCCACCACAGCAGAAGGATGTGTCTAAAACACAAACCAGATCCTGCCACTTCTCCCCTTAGAACCCCCAGTGTCTTCCAATCAATTGCCCTTGGAATAAAATCCAGGCTCCTGGCCGTGGCCTGTAGAGCTTATGTGCCATGGCCGCTGTCCATTCCAGCCACCGTTCCTCCCTCCCCCACTCATCCCACTCCAGTCATCCTGGCGTCCTTCCCAGTGGAAGGACCTTTGTCTTGCTGCTTTCCTGCTGTGGGCATTTCACACACTGGCTCCTTCCCATCCTTCTTCTAGTCCAAAGCTCTCCTCCTCAAATCCACAGTATCTCCCCACCCTTGTGCTCTCCATCACACCACCCTCTTGATTTACTTCCTGTCGCTTATCAGGGCTTTGATTACCTTTACCTTCATATTTGTTTGTTTCTTCTACCTCTGGAATGTAATCTTCAAGTGCAGGGACGTCATCTCTCTTGTTTACTCCTCTTCCTGGCTAGTAGAAACGGCTTGCCCCTGTGCCAGGACTGGGGGCAGCAGCAGCAGAGATGGCGTCTATTTCTGTGACTCTCCAGCAACCCCAGGGCCAAGCGTCAGTCCCTGGCTGTGACACCACCACTCAGGCCCCAGCCTCTGGCCTGACAAGGAGGCTGTGCCTCGCCCATGCAATGCACCAGGAAGAACTCTGGCTGGACCTTCCTCTGGCGTCTGGTTCCATGAGCCTGAAGTGCTCCTAACTGGCCCTAGGTGCCCACCCCTAGAGGCCTTTCAGCCACAAGCAGGCCTTTTCCCTCAAATACCAGAGCCCTGCCTTGCCCTGCCTCCCTCACTGACCTTTATGGAAGCAGAGTTCTCTTTCCCCAGCGCTGACCAGGGCTCTGGGGTTGCTGAAAGGCCAAGGTCTCCTTCCTGGGCCAGGCCAGGGTCGCCTGGATGGGCTCCTTGGCCCTTTCAGCCTAAAACCTGTGCACCTGCATTTGCTCCTCCACCTCACTCCTTAGCCACCTCTCTATGCCCTGAGAACCAGCAAGTGTCAGGGCCTTTCCCGGGAGGCAGCAGACTAGGCACATCCTTGTCACACTTTTGTGTAAAGCCATTCAATGACTCCACTCATCGCCAGGTGATGAAGACACGCATGTCCCTTGTCACCTGCCACCACCACCACCCCGCCACACACACACACACACACACACACACACACACACACACAGTTCACGCTCTGGGGCCATACCCAACTTCTCACTATGTGATTTCACCCATCCAGCCAGCAGGACTGCTGTTCCCTCCGCCTGGACTTCCCTCCGCCCATTATCTCTTGGCGGTACACCTATATAGTTTTTTGGACATTTTAAAAATTTTTTAATTTTATTTTTAAATTTTATTGGGGAACAGCCATGATCATTGGTTACTCATTGCCCTCATGCCACAATGGCATAGCTGACTCTCTTAAGAAGGGTGCAGCTCACAGTGCCACACGGGGATCAAACCGGCAACCTCGGTGCCATCAGCACCACGCTCCAACCAACTGAGCTAACCAGTCACCCCCATACCTGTGTAATTTTTAAATGCTGGCTCCTGCATTCCATCCTGTGGGACATCTTTCCTGATGCCCCTAAGCTGAATATGATCCTTTGTGCCTGGAATGCCACAGTACGTGTATTTGTCTATAAGTCCTTCACTCCTCTAGGCTGTGGCAAAGAAACTATCCTGGGCCTTCAGGGATCCTAGTCTGATGGGTACATGCCCCTCAACATAACACGTGCAATAATGGAGGGACACGTGTACATGTGGTCTAGGAGCCAAGGGCCAGCGTCCCCGCCAGGCCTGGGCAGTGGGAAGGCCTCCAGGAGATACAGAGCTTCCATGTAGACATGACATCATCTTAGGTGTTTCCCATGGGCAAGGAAGGGACAGGCACTGTAGGCAGAGAGAACAGCAGATACCCAAGTATAGAGGCATGACTCGTCTAGGAATCATGTCATTCCCTAGGCTGAGTGTAAAGTACAAGGAGCAGGGAGTTGAGGGAGATAAGGCAAGACTCAGAGGCAGGAGCCCCAAGTTCAT